TGCCTGTAGCAGTATGGGCTGTGTTTTGGAAATAATTATTAAAGGACATTGAACAGTTTATTACATTTTTCCTTCCTTCCTTTACAGTCATGGCTTTGACATACCAGCATAATCATATAATGTATTTTCCCATTCAGCTATTATTGTTTGGATAGCATACTTTAAATGTTGCTTAATGAATTCCTGTTATAGTAACTGTTTATAAAATTATTTCATGATAATAGCTGGAATAGTTTTGGTTTAGATTGAGCCTAATGGTACAAGACATGGGGTTGGATCCAGACTAAATTTTATGCTCGTGCAAGGCACTTTAATCAGTGGAATGGAACTTCCTCTCTCCCCCTCAAGTTCACCATGCCCCCTTAACCCCCCCTCCATGCGGTTCCCAGGATTCAGGGCACCCCCAGAAAGAGCACTTAGGGTCATGAAATCTAAATACAAGGGAAGAATTAATTGCCCTCTTGCACTGGCAAAAAGAAAGTTTTGGATCCAGCCTTATTCCTATACTATTTTTTTCAATAGCTGTATTCATCTTGTTCCCAGACTCCACAGCTTTTGGACACTAATACCAATTATATAAATCTTTGCCTTCTTTGGACTGCTGTACTACATTAACATCAAATTAAAGCCATTTTTTCTGATATTAGTACACGATGAAAAATCATTACTGTAATTCCAGATATGCTCCCAAATATCAAATTGGGTTGGATTTAGATTGAATTTTCTACTTACACAATGCAATTCTGTCAGTGGAACACAAATCCCCCCCCCCCCCCCAAATCCCCTTACAATCTACTGATTTCCTCAAAATGCTGCTCCTTGGGGAAAGGGACCCCAGGAACAGCATGAGAAGCAAATCTAGGGGTATGCGGAAGAAGGAATTGGTGGAAATTTCCCCACCCCTTCTGTTAGTGGAAAATTTAAGTTTGGATCCAACCCAAAGTCTTGCCCCAACTAACAGTTCAATTTTCAACCCCATTTCACATTGAAAAGTTAAATTAAAAGGAAGCCTTGGACTCAGTATCATTTTCTCAGCTAGAATCATACAGAACCTTTTCAAAAGCAGTAAATTTGACCTTGACTGAAGGAAAAGGAAAGGTTGATTACTCATTTAATTTTAATGATTGAAGTGTATTTTCTTATGGCCACATTTGATTCCCACTTAACATATCTACATATCTGCTTCTCTAACGTTCAGAAATAAAAGGCTGTTCATGATCTGATAAATTCATTGAAAAATGGCCAGCAATTTTTTCCCATGTTGTTAAAACTCCTGATATAGTTATAGCTATTTCAAAGGTAAAGCCATAGTTCTGTCAGAGCTGTCCTTGAACGGGCAGCTCTTGAAAGAGCTCTCTCAGCCCCACCTACCTCACAGGGTGTCTGTTGTGGGGAGGGGAAGGGAAAGAAGTTTGTAAACCGCTCTGAGACTCCAAGTGAAGGGCAGGATATAAATCCAATCTCCTCCTCCTCCTTCTAAAATGGCAAAGTCATCCCCATGGTGGATTTAGGATGCTGTCACAACTAGTATGGCTTTTAGAGTACTATTGGGTACTGAGTGGGGCTTATTCCCAGGAAAGTGTTCTTAGTATTATACTCTTAGTTACTAGTTAATTAGAATTGTCAAAAGCTGTAACATTCTTTTAATGTTAGATTATGGCTATATTTTGATGTTTACTTACAATAGTTTCATGTATTAATCTTCTTTATTGGTTTCTTTGCATAACATTCTTTGTGAAGATCACTGGCTTAATTATTCCATTTTTGTGTTTATGTTTGTTTATTTCCCTTTTAGAATTTTAAAAAGAAAGCTAACTTTCCCCATTGTGATTGAAATTAGGATCTTAACAAAGTACAATGTGTTACTTCGTTTATTTGTGGCCTTTCTCCCCAATGGAGACCCAAAGTGGCTTGCATCATTTTTCTGTCTTCCAGTTTATCCTCACAACAACCCCTTTCTCTCTCCTTACTGCATTGCCCTTATTCTCTCTGCTGTTTCTCCATCCATGTCCCATGATCCCAGGAATGATTGGGGTAGGGTTTGAGGGTCAAGATAGGGCTTCCAGAATAAAAAAGAACATGAGCAAATGCTGTGTGCTTTTGTGTACATGTGGTTAGATGCAGACTCCTTACATCTATTAAAAGTTGCAAATCACAGAATTTTGTTTACATTAGGGCTGCCAAATCCCCCGGGGGGGCGGATTTCCCCCCGCTTTGGAGGCCCAATTTCCGCCCCCGCGGAATCGGGGCCCGGGTGCCATTTGGCAACCCTAGTTTACATTGTTCTTTGGACTTCTAATTTGCCTGTACTGGGGCTTGTAGGTTAACTAAATTAAATGTTCATTCATATTTAACCTGTCTTGTTTGTTTTCTAAATTTATTCAGATATCTAAGAAAAATAGGCAATGTGATAGATTTATATACTATTGGTAAATTTCATTCCTTCTATCATGTAAGATAGTTGCTTCTGAGCATAATTCCCTTTCCCAAAAGAAATTTTTAATTAACTTTGGCTATTTCTTTAATGGAACATCTTATCTTACCAGTAATGTTTGGAACAGAAAACTTAATAGATGTAGTGTTATAGGGTTGCCAAGTTCCTCCTGTCAACTGGTAGGGGATGTGGGGGTGACTTACCTGGAGAAAGAGAAAGGCCTAGGCCTCATCACAAGTATCACACAGGAAGTGAAGTCAACACCAGTGACATCCAGGTATTTGGGCAAAAACTCTATAGTAAAACCGGCTTCTACCATAGAATTTTAGCCCAAGTACCAGAGTGAGATCTGGATGTCGCTGGTGTGATGATGTCACTTCCTGTGCAATGCCAGCGGCAAGGCCTGGGCCTTTCTTTTTCTCCAGGTAAGTCCCCTGCACCTTCTAGCTGATTGGTAGCTGGGGGCAGGGCCTGGCAGGAGGGGACCTCTGCCTCCACCAGGGGGTCTGGCAACCCTATAGTGTTATCACTTGGGCGGGGCATTCTCCAACAAGTAGAGAGGTTTCCCACGTTTAATCTTGTACTTTAACTTGATTATAAAGTTTCTGTGAGTTACCATGGTGTAAGATAGCAAGCCATTGTCCTACTTGGGGCATACTCATTATCAGAGGTAAGAGCTTGAGTGCTGAGTGCTTGGAGCGTGATGGGTTTTTCCTTCAGTGCCATCCTTTCTTCCAGCTGCCAGTGTGCTGCTGAATTCCTGTACAGGGACAGAGAGTTGCTATAGTAATTGTAATCTTAGGGTAGATTCCTGGGTGAAGGGCATTTCTTCCCAAGGGAGGAAAGACCAGATCATTATTAGAGAAACAGAGATTTTGCTACACACCCAACTAATTTAGCTAATACTAGAAAAATTAACTCAGTAACTTTCCCAATCATACTTCTTTTAGATGAAGTGGAGAGCAATTTTGTTGAATTTTGAAATATTTCCTTTACTTTGTGTTGATGTTTTCCTCCAAAGCTCTGAAATTATCAATGATTATTTGCTTTACACTTCAGCTACACACTGCCAACTCTGTCTTAGGAAATTATTGGAATGTGGAGGCATTGACTGGGGATGGGAAATTTTGGGGAGGGGAGGGAGCTCAGGAGGGATGTGAGGCCATAAGATCACTTGTCATTCCCAGAGACATTCAGGCCCCAAACTGAAGTTGGTAAGCCGTTAGGCTTGCCATATGTTTGCTGTGGCAAGCAAATCCCACCCGCCAACCCCAATCTCCCACCCTCGAGAAACTGAGGAGTGGGAGAAATAAAAACTCTAAAATGGTCTCCATAGTGATGATCTAAAAATGTCTTCATGTCTTTATGCTTTTTACCATAGAGATTACAAGAAATTGCTAGGGCATCTTCCAGAAGTTATACCAAATCCTCTCTAAACTCCACCGTCCCCAAGTACTGCTCTCAGAATCTCTTGGCATTTGTTTGGGCAGTGCTGGCAACCCTAACATGTACATGTCCACCCACACACACCTTACAGAAACGTGACTGGGCTATTCTAATACACTTAGACTTAACTTTCCAACCTTTCCCAATAAATGTATCCATCCTGCTATCAATAGAAAAATCACCAAATCTTTACATGTACATTACCCTAAATGCATTATAATATCTCTTCCTTTACCATGATATATTATGTTGATTCAACCCCGTGTACCACGGCCCCCACCCCACTCACAAAAAGAGTCTTCTTGCGAGCTGAGCGTGCAGCCTGCAATCGCCCCACTCCCTCTCTCCTGCTAGATTTAAAGGGCCCTCCAGCTGGTCGGCGGACCACGTGGTCCTCGCTGATCAGCTGAAGCCCTTTAAATTGGGCTGGAGGGGAGGGAGAGGGGAGGCCAGGCGGGCGGTTGCTCTTGGTGGCGGGGCTTGGAGGTTGGGCTTCCACTGCCAGCCAGCTGGCCAGGGGCTGATTGAAGCCCACAAAAGCAGGGGAACCCCCGCCTGGACCTGGGAGGTTGGCAACCCTATTTGTACAAGAGAATTTACAAATTTGGAGGCTAAAATATTGTCACATGTCTTTGAAACAGAACTGATTAGCATCACCATGCTGATGTGTGGTTATAATAAATTCTTTACAGGAGAGTTTTAAAAGTAGTAATTAGAGACAAGCCAAAAGCTTCCCTATCTATCAATTCTCATGAAACTTTGCTTTGTTCTGGTCTGGTGTTTCAGTTTTTCCTCTCTCTCCCCACTAATATTAGAAACTTGATTGTAATGGTAATTTATAATTGTAATTTGTATATTGACAAGGGTGAGATGTACCTTTGGATAATAAATTATTTTGACATTTGTCTAATCTAGAACTGATACTCCAGTGATTAATCCTATCAATATCAATAAATGTAGTTACTCCCATTTGAATAACTGTGCTCTTTGAGCCAGTTATTTTTCTCTTTCAATACTGCAGAATTTGACCTTGATGTTTTAATAGGATCATTAAGTGTAACAACTGCTATTTAATACTTCACAGTGATAGAACCCCTTCTTTCTCTCTTTCCTTTTAAAGCTGGCCTTTGCCTGAGTATGATCCAAGTCAAGTTCGCTTAATTGTATACCAGGACTGTGAAAGAAGAGGGCGAAATGTCTTGTTTGACTCCAGTGCAAAGAGAAGAACTGAAGACACCTCAGTTTCAGTAAGTAATGTTAATTGAAACTCAATTGTACTGTGTTTGTGTTCTTTCAAATGTAACAGCAGCTTAATATGTAAAAGCTTCTACAATAAATTCTTTGCATTGGTAGTCGCAATTCAAAGAGAGATGTTCATTATGCTATATTTAAGAAAGGATTCTGTTGGAAAGCAGTGGAGCATCAGTGATTCCTCCTAATGGCTTAACTATTGTAGCGGTCTCCTCTTTTTAGCCTCACATTTTATTATCTCATATTTTCTTTCAGAGGGTTTGTTATTTCTTATAGCTTTGTTAATCTTCTGCATGACACAGAAGCCATTTCTCTCCATTGCTTTTCTCCTCTTGTGGCAAACCAAGGATTAAATAAGTTTTAACCATACTGTATCTCCGTTCAAGATGAAGTAGGCACACTATAGAATACTAGTTATTATATAGCTACAAGAGGGGAACCCGCAAGGATTTGCGGGGGCATCTCATTTCCCCCCTCTCCTACTGCTTCCTCTTTCCCTTCCCTGAAAGCCCTCACAACCTCTCTCCCTTTCCTTTTTCCTTCTCTCCCTCCCACCCACTAGCCAACTGCCTTTATTTGCCACCCTCTCTTCATCTTTCCTTCCTTCCAACGCCCTTATGGCCTCTATTCAGGAAAACTACAGCCCAGTTGCATGGTACCAACAGGCTGGCTTTTTGGGAGTGGCTGCTGTTGATCAGTAGCAAAGCAACCAGTGCTGGGTAAGTCATGCAAGTGACATGGTATCAAGTTGCCCAGTAGTGGGGTGCTGGGCCTGCCCCATTGAGTCCTCCCACAAAATCCAAAACAACCCTGGAAAGGGATCAGCTCCTTCGATATATCAATTACTGTTAGGTGCATAACTGAGCATCATATGCACTTTTCCCCATCAGTCCTCTGTTGCCTTCTAGCAATTTTGTTCTTTCATTTTTTTATATATATTTTCTTTAGGGAGAGTCAGTCTACAATTTGGGTGTGAGCACAGAGTGTTCCCCTGAAACATAATAATCTCTTTCTGGAACATGAAAATATTCAGATCACATCTCTCAGCAAAGTGGCAAACGGCTCCCGTTCTTCCCTTGATGGCATACATGAAGTGCTAGTTGCATCCCACGACACTTTTGCCCTTTGCAATAAAGCACTGTGTGGGACAAATGTTTTTTTGCTGTGAAAAGAGCATCTGTTAACTGCCTTTTAGAATTCAATGCCTTCTGCTAGCTGCTCCCCGCATGGCCCAGTGTGATTTATGGCTGTTTTTCTTCCTCCAAATACAGTGTTGTTCGAATATAGTAGTGTAGGGGAATATGCAGGCCTTGGAGTTGCACAAAACTGTTCACCAGGAAGATGGACTCTGCTAATTTTGAGATCATATATTTGGAGGAAGGGTCTCTTATGATAGGGCTATACTCCTGTTCTCTGCTCTCAGCTAAGTGAAATTTCTTGCTTCACGGAGGAGATCACCTCAGTGGAAGATAGGTCTTAGCCAGAAATTTTACCTTTTGTAAGGCTTGCAGTGTATTGGCTGCCAGCACTTCTTGATAATAAACCATTCTGAAGTTTCATACTAGTCAATGTTTGTGGTGTTGCTATTAAATGTTTGACATATCGCAAAGGCAATTCCATTTGGTAGAATCCCCCCCCCCCCGCCACATCGATTTTTGAGACGACACACTCAAATAAGTTATGCTAATGAGTTATGCTAATGAGCTCCGGCAGCTCTTTTTCTACAACAAGACCCCTGTAATAAACCATTCTGAAGTTTCATACTAGTCAAAGTTTGTGGTGTTGCTATTAAATGTTTGACATATCGCACCCCCCCCGTTTATATGGAGAAATGACTATGAACACAAACTGCTTGTAATTTCTCCAGGGGCCACTGCAGACACGATGCTGTTGGTTGCTTAGGCATAGCTTTACAATGCCTCATATAGTGCTATTGTCCATCAAAGCTAGGGTGCGTAAGGAATCAGTTTTCAGTGGCCTACCCACTGCTGGTTGTTAGGATTCTGGAAAAGACTGCATAACTAGGCACACCTTAGCCTGTGATCTAACAAGGCACTTCTCACATTTTCAGGCAGGAGTACATGCTTCAGATAACTTAACATGGATTGCTTATGCATGATTGCAAGAGATCCTAAATAAGCACTTTAGCTTTGAAAATTTACAATACCCTAGTGGTCCACTGGGATTTTAGCTTTTTTTTTAAACTAGTAGACTGAAGCAGGCCCACTCCTGAACTAGACCATGAATTATGTATATTTGAAAGATGCGTAACTGACCCGTCAGTCATTAGTAAACTCTTTAACTACTTATGCAGTGTCACTTTAAAGTGAACCTTCCCAAAATTAAACTCCTTCCTATAGTCAGGGGTGTGTCGTAAGGTCTGGGCAAAAATAGTTTAGGGTGAAATATTTATTTTCATATCGGTATTTTTATTGATTCATTCACAAATAATGATCCAAAACAACCCCAAAGCGCATCCACATCCTCACCTACCAGGAAAAATTATATCAGAAGAAAAGAGTGGAAAGAATGAGGCAGAAGCAAAACCAAAACGGAGGACAAATGATGTGTAAAGGAACTATCAGAGGCATTACTTCTCATGGAGATGGAGGAAGGAATGCCATATGGAAATGAAGGTCAGGGCTATGGGAAGGAAGGAAAAGAGGCCTGATGGAAATATTTCCTTGGGTGAGTGAGAGAGACAAAGGGAGAAAATGACTATGAGAAAGGGCTTCATTTTAAGATCTACATTAATAGCTCGATGCTGTTCAGGTGATGCAAAATTGAATGGGGCTCATTATTTTATGACAGATTCATTGCCTGTTATGTATCATTTATTTATTTATTTTCCACATTTGTATCCCGCCCTCCCCAATGGGCTCAGGGCGGCTCAAGGGCAAGGTAATCAGCCGTGCCATAAATAAACATCTTCAGCTGGAAGTACTTTAGCGCTGAGCCCTGATGAGGATATGCTGAACGTAACTCTGCTTAGTATAGCACTGTAACACTATAGAAGTACCATCAGGTTTCCTTGTGCTGTTGACCACTATGGGCACAGTAGGTGGTGCTAGCAGTACGTTGCCTCCAGCACTTATTTACTGCATTTACATGTTCTTGCTTGGGGCAAGGGCTTTTTTTTTAATTGCAGTTCTTATTTAGTAACCTGTTATAATTTTGGGAACATGGCTTGAGCGATACTTGGAACACAAGACAGCCAATTATTTTTGTTGCATAATATCTAGTGATTTGTTGCATCTTATATTTCATTGACATTCAGGTTCAAAAACTCCTCAGAGGAGGGGGGGGCACCTTAGATACTTGATCTAGGTGGCCAGCAGGTAACTCTTGCACAGATGGTAGGTTCTAATATTGCATGTCTAGAAATTTGTCAGGGTTCTGCATTCTGCACATGATTTGCTTACTGGGAAGCTGCTGACAGATGGTATCCCAAAGACTGTAACTATCTGACCTCTTTTTCCAGTGGGCTCCTTAAGTTCATTGCATTCCACTGTAAAGGCCAAGGGGTATCATCTTTCCTAGTGTTTAAATCAGGAAATGATAAGTGCAAGACGTGATCAGTGGTGAGTTTGTGAAAAGCTACTGTTTAGGAAGTTATTAAAAGATGCATGCCTAGAAATGAAATAGCCTGGGGCAGGATGTGACTGTCATTTTTGTCTGCGAATATATCTTCCTGTTGTAAGAGCTGACTCTTTTTAAGTATATGCTTGCATGCTACCAAGTGTTTCAACATCCACTGAAAGCTGCAATGTGACTTGCCTGTGAAACTTGCTGTAACCCTGTGGAGTCGATGTGGTTTTATCACATGATGCTGTGCCTAGCCCAAGACGCTGTTGTTTGTGTCAGAGATAAAATGCAATTCTCGTTCACGAGTTGCTAGCAAAGTCATATGATTGCCATTCACATGTTTTTCTGCCATTGTATGCCAAAAAACACAAGCCAGTGGCAAATTGAACAGGGCGTGAGTTCAGCATTGTCTCACTAAGGTTCAGACTGTCATAATGGGAGGCTTTTCTTTTGCAAAGGAGTGCAACCTGGAGTTGTAAGCCTAAAAAGAAAGCTCTTTCTGGCTTTGCATAAGCTAGGCTAGCTATGACAGGAAGATCAGCCAGTCTCACAGGTCCAACTGTTAGGGCCCTTTGCTACAATATATATATATATTTATGACAGCACATGATGCACATAAAAACAACTTAGATCTAGGTGAGTAGCTGTGTTGGTCTGAAACAGTAGAACAACATTGGCACCTTTAAGACCAACAAAGTTTTATTCAATTAATTGAATAAATTAAAGGTGCCACTGGTGCAAACTATGTTATTAAAAACACCTTGTGAAACTTACCAAATGGCAAAAAACTTAACAAGGTGTTTAAGTTTAAGCACCCCCTCCCTTATGAGGATCTCTCCTTAGGATGGTCACAGCTCATACATCACTATGAAGTAGGGAAAATCAATTATTACCCTGCTTTGGAGATGGGTTTTTATGTACTGTGCAATTATTTATTTAGTAAAATGTTTACACCGTACCATTCCCTATGGCTGAAAGCGGCTTACAAATCCGAATGTAAAATATACAGAATACAATAAACCTTCAAATAACTCCCTCCCTCCTATAAAAAAAAAATCTGTAGCCTATACTTCAGTAAAAGCCCTCGCTAATAAAATGGCCTTGCAGCTCCTCTTTATTGTGGATATGTAATATTGTTTTATTGTATTTTATCTATTTAATCCAGCATTAGCCAGTTGTTAGCTGCCCTGAGCCGCTTGGAAGGGCCGGGATATAAATCTCAAAATAAACATTAAATAAATAATAAGTAAAATGTTCTAGATTCAATGCCCCCTCCCCAGCCTCAGGAGGCCTGTTACATAGGGGTGGGAGCTATGATAGAAAAACCACAGCTCTGGTCTTTGCCCGGTGTAGTGGTGGGACAGCCAGTTACTGGCAGCCTGAGGTCCTTTAGAGATAGGCAAGGTCATGA